TCCTATGTACCCAACGCTGCACCGAACCATCTGCCGACGAGTGGTGCAGACATCTCTAAATGCGACTTGCTGTTACACTCCGTTTCTAAAGTAAACTTTATGTTTTGATGGGCATTGCTAAATCTGCTTAATTGTTCCGTCGGGTTCGATGTTGCGTTGATCACACAAACTGTGTATGTGTAAGTCTCCAATGGATGATTGCAATTGACTGTTTTCAAGTCTCCCCATGTGTAAGCCACGAAAATCTGTCCCAATGGGAACCGCATGGCCACGCCATCCTTTGGTCGACAGATCTCATCGTTAAGCTTGAATCGACCACTGTGTGTGCAGAAAGGAGGCAGTTGTTTTACGTCATCCGAAAGAAGGCTTAGCTGAACATTTTAGTTTGCACACACTTCAGAGGTGTTCAATCCTTTTGCTGATGGGATCATTTGTGAACGAGGTAGCGTCCAGCGACAGCCTTATGCGACCGACCAAGTTCATGTCACCAATTTTGTTTGCAAGAGAAAATGTATTTGTGACACTGTTTTTTGCTAACCCAAATCGAAGAACTTCTGCTAATTTAGTCAACCGTTTTACCATTTTTACGGATTGCACATATCCAAAATTGGTCATGTTGCTAATCCATCCGTACTGATCATAACAGTCTCGGATGGCCGAATACGTTCAGAGGCGAACTCATCAATAATCACCAACTACTTTAGACATCACAAAATCTAATAAAGCACCCATTCCACCTGAGTTATCTTGTCATTTTCAGTCGATTTGGTGAAGTTTGATCGATCACTTAATATATTTTGATTTATCGGCATGGATATACATCACTGAAAACGAGCTTGTTCACAGTTTAGTTGCTTCGTTTAAAAGGCGCACTGTGGGGGTATTGGGACAACAATAATACTATATTTTACTTCGTTTTATAAACTAAATATGCAGTTTTATACACTATTTTCTGAAAGGAAGCTGCCATCCATCAAGGGGTTCATGCAAAAGTGCAGCAATGAGAAAATAAGCAGCTGTTGTGAAAGTCGACCTCACGATCTTTGTGTTGAGGCAGTGTTGATCTAAACAGTTTGGCCATTAACGCGGAATTGTTAACAATGCACAACTGCAACTTTTGCAATTCAAGTCGTCCGAATATCATTTCAAGATAGACGGGGATCATTTCAAGCTCTTTCAGTATCACTTCAAGCCGTCTCGATATCATTCCAAGCTATCTTAGCGTCATTTCCAGCTACCGCGTTGACCTGTTCAAGGTTCTGTGATATTTGGATGATCACCATGCAGTACGAATTTCTCAAACTCTTGTTGAAGCACTGGGAAAACGGTTGAGATGAGTTTCGGTCACACACGCCGCGATTCCCGTTACATATCTTGGTTGTTTACCCTGCTAGGACGCGTACGCGTC